TGGGGAGTCAATTATGGTGCAGCCCTCCAAACCAAACGCTTCTCAAAATAGCAAAAGGGTCGGCCGGGCTTTTGGCTTGCCTTTTGGTCTTCTTTTCTCTTTTTCGTGCCATTCCTTAACTGGGGGACTCAGAAAATAGGAGATTGTTTGAAGGGGATTTTTTCTCAGTCTTTTGCACCTCCAATGTGCCATCATTTCTCAAAGGAACAGACACATTGATCTGCTTTGGGGTGGCCACGGTGGTGCGGATTCTACCGCTGAAAGTGGGAGGTTCCCTCCTTTTGGGTTCCGTTTAGAACTATCCAGAAGACTGAAGTTGTCCCTTATGCTGGACACTTAGGTCTATTTTGCATTCCTTTGTTTAGGGTATTGTTTTTTTTTCAGCAATCACCGTCTTGGGTCTTGGATTTCAGTTTGCCTTTGCATTTCCCTTTAAACCATCCCCAAAAGGGTATTTACCGAGCCCGACACAAGGAAACACACTCATACGTTTGAGGAAATGCCGCACATGTGTTTCCGCAAATGGGTTTGTCTCAACATGGAAGCTCCCCTCCCCAGAATGGGTGGCTTGCTTTTGGTTTCCTCAGAAAACCAGCCCTAACAAGTTGGATTTGCCGAGCGGCCGGCCAGGTGGCGCATGGCACCTGGCACTTTTGCTCTTGGCCACTTTCAACCAACTGCAGGCGGCTCAGCTGGGGTCGAACCCGGCAGTCAAAAAAAAAGAAGTTACGAAATTTCCCGGGAACAAAGGTCTTTCACATGGCTACGAGATTTCAGAGTTGGAACCCCCTCAAAAGTGCTCGGGACACGACTCTCCACCAAAACGATGTCCAAAGGGCGACTCAGAATTCAGAAACGAATCACCTGAAGATTCCTTGATTGATTTTTGGGTAAGGGATATTCAGTCATGCAGACTGTTGGGACCCCCAAAAAGCTGGTGACCTTCTTTCCCGACCAGAATGGTCTTGCAAAGCCTGCAGTTGGACGAACAATCAGGGGATACTGTTGCTTCCCGTTTTTCCACAGAGTGACAGCTTTCTCTCGAGGCCCCGAGGGAACCCTCACCAGTCAACGGTCGGCTCGTGACATGCGGGACTCACTCATTTTCAGACGGCAAGGGAACCCACCAATTTTTGTCCTTCAGGGTAAACGTACTCTGACGGTGGCTCCTGTCAAAAATGAAGCCAGAGGTTCCGGACGTATAGCAATCGATGCGTATCCAGACAATTTTGGCATCGGAAAACACACATTCGTATTGTTTTGGTGCAAAATTCAGCACGCCTGTCCCTTTAATAAGTTGAACATGCGCGTTTTCCTCAGCGAAACGGCGATTTCAGGACGAGCATCAGGCCAAGTTGCGCTAGTTCAGCCTGTAGCGTCAGCACGCGCTTCGCGCAAACTCTGCCCAGCGAGATCTCCTGTGCGTGCTTACGATGCCAGAGCCATGAATGCGTCTTTCAGGGAAGGTTTCGGGTCTCGACGTGAGCAACTGCCAAGGGACCAGGAGTCCAGGAGTTGATCTGAGAGAGCGACGAGGGATCCAAAGGATAGTAAGATTACAAGACCAAGCAGCCTGAGAAGATTACCCAAAACCAAGCAGCTTGATCCACGAGGACGTTTGGGGGCAAACGTCATATCATAATGTCTAAGACGGCTTCTACTACCCCCAAACCACTACCTTGAGGATATACAATCACTTGTAGCCACTTTGTAAAGGGTATTTTCCTCTTTTGACCATGGAGCTGCAAGTCAACCATGTTGGGGATGGGTTTGTTTCAAGGGGAAGCCCTGATTTGACCATGGTGCATATGCCATTCTCGGCGATATTGGTTCCCTCGCTACACTCCAGGGTACTGGTACCCCACAAATCGCGGTGAGCGGGTTTCGTGTTTTTGAAGGTAGTTGCTTTTTGGTGGTTTGGGGCACGTATGGCAAATGAACAGGAACCGGTTATCTATTTTACCACGAAACAACGGGCCTCGCACACAAGCCGGAGGCAGCCAGGTGGGACGGGACCCTCTACCCAACACCCTAAATGGTAGCCGGATTTTCGGGTAAATGTCTAGACTTGGTAAAAGTGTCTCGTTTGAGGGTACCCTCAAGCTGCCCGGAAAACAGGGGCTTTTGGGCCAATATTTTTGTTTTGTGCTCCGGAAGTTTGAGGGTCCGGGTTCAGCAACGGGACCCTCACTCAGCTCCCGGAGGTGGAGTCCAACACGGCGAGCTTCAACACGGCTTTGGCGGCCGATGCGCGCGAGTCTGCATGGGAGTGGGCGGTAGGGTTGGTGGCGGCAATGCGGGCGAACAGGCGGGGGGATCGAAACGGCGTCTCCTTCCCAGAGCCGACCCCGCCCCTCCCCCCCGCCGCCTGACCCTGACGCCTCAAGCCAAAAAAGGGGACCCCGAAGCAAAGGGGAGTCGATTCCCAGCTCTCCAGGGGGACGTCGAACAAAAGGCGGGACCCCGACGCCTTTTGTGGAAGGTGTCCAAAGGGAAAGCCAAACAGACTAAGTAAAAAACAGGTATGTGTCAACAAAAGGAGTATCCCCCAAAATGGGTGGCTCCCGTGGCGTCTTCGCTTTGAAACCCATCCAACCAGGTACACTCCCATACCCAAACCTGAAAGTGACCATCTGCCTCCAACAGGGACTCTCCTTCCGGTTCCTTTTCTTTTGGGAGGGTATTTGATGCGTAAAGGTCTCCAAAAGAGGCGTTCGGGGGAGGGTGTCGAACAGTAACTACTGCAACCGCAACCACATGTTTGAGGACAAGCCAAGTAGACGTTGAGCCTCGTTTTGGTGTGGCGAGGTTTGAAGAGGAATATGGATATAGTTGGAACCCTGGTTAGCCCCCAATTTCTAAAGGCCTCTATGTAGAAGGCGTTAATTCAACTGAAAAAGCTGGGCCCTCACCAGAAAGGGGGCTTGAGGTAACTTCCATGGCAACGGTTTCCCGCTAGCCCTTTTTGGTTGAGGAAAATTTGGTTGGTTCAAGGGACAAGAAGGGGAACCCCGCCATCCCCGTTTGAACATATGGGAATGAAGGAGGGCCTTCACGGGTTCCATTTCTCTGCCCAAGGATTTAAAATCCAGGGGTTGATTTTTTCAGAATGGCAACCCCTGGAATGAAGTGATAGATCAAGAGCAGTGTCAGGTATAAGTTTTGGAGGTAATGCGGAAATACTACAATCTATGGTACATATCCTCCACACCTGCAAAACCCATCCCTGGAAAGTCCCTTGATTTTGAGGGCCTAAATAATGACGAGGAATGCACTCCCGTAATCATGACTACATTTGGTTTGAAAGCACCCCAAGGCCCTGTTCCAATTACTTTGGCCTTTATAGTACGGACTTAACCATACACAGAAGTTATTGTCGGCTCGCTTTCTGCCTTACATGGATCTGGGTATGTTCCTTCGATGCCGGGTTTTGAACATGGCTACCAGGCAGGTGGACGAAGTAAATGATGTCCACCACAGGCTCCCATTGAATTTCATACCCATATGACTCAGGTGGTCCAAACGAAGCGGGGGGTAGGTGTTTGGCTGAGGAGGGCGCAATCGGCCTTTTAACCTGTTGGTTTCTCTTTTTTGCCAAAACGCCATATTTGGTGACCCAAAATTCTCCCAAAAGCTTTCTCTATATTTGCTGACCCAAAAAGGTCAACCCGCCAAAAAGCCAGGTGAGTTTCTGGGATGTCTTTTAACATGATCTTACATTTGCCAACTTTCTAGGGTTCACACAAAATATGGCAGTGGGTCAAAATGGTACCATTTTGGGGTCGGTGCACCCATTTTAGTCAATGTTAGTGGGGATTGGGATGTTCACTTGGGGTACGATTTGGGTTTTGACCCATGGCGATATGGGCCTCTCCGACTCCACCGCATTCCGCCTTTTCGCGACCAGGCACCAGGCGGATGGATTCAGCCGGGGCCCCTTTCCCTTTCTGCCGGCGCGTTTGATCCGCGCCATCGGTTTTGGGGAGCAGACATCCAGTGGGTTGCTTCATGTTCTCCTTTTGTTTGGAGGTGGTGGGCCCTTTTAAAAATCGACTACCAACAAAAAGGGGGCCAAATCGGAAAACTCCACTTTGTCGGGTTCTCCCAGGCGCAAAGCCTTTCTTTCGCTGGTTGCAAGGGTCAATGTGGCGGGATATTTGTACGGGATCTTCGTCCACGAACGGATCGTGTTTCGGGTTCCATGGTATTCTGGCGGGGAGTACGTTTCAGGTCCCATTTTTCCAGATGCTACGCCAGTGAGCATCTTCTGATCTGAAGGCAAGATGCTCTCCCGCAATGTCGACGCCGGATGAACAAACGACACCCAGGATAAACAACCCCCCTATTTGTTAATATGGGTGCCCCGGGCTTTAGTGGAGGTTCATCACTCTTGGAGGTGAACATGAGATCCATTTTCCAGAACGCACTGGAAACCCAATCAAGGCTGATAAAAAAGGCGGACTGGGTTTGCCCCAAAGCGGCAAGGACCCTCTTGGCTTCAACGTCAATATTAAATCAGAAAACTGCTCCTACCCCGCAAACACACCAAGCCCAAATCACACCTCCCAGTTTTGGTCCTTTAGTCTTCCCCCAGAGGGTGTGTTTTTGGGGTGTAGTGTGGTCGGGGGTCCCCCGAAGGGAGTGATTCAAGAGAGGATCCTCCCAAAAAGTTAACTTTTGAGGGAACGCCCATCCCGCGGCTCCTTATCTTCTAAAAAAAGTCCTTGGAACCCGGCCCAATACATGGTTGTGGAAAATTGGGCTTCACGGCCATTTTCTGTGATTTCAAGGGAACCCCCCTTTTAGCGCCAAAGTCGCGTGAATGCCCCATATTTGGAACCACAGATGTCGGGTGCCTTCCATGACCCAATCCAGCCATCCATTTTCGGAGTACCCAAAGCTAGACTCGGCATTTCCCCAATTGGGTCTGACCTCGCAACCCCCGAGGGATCCCAACCCCTTGGCCCATTTCTCCCAGACGTTTCTCGGGTATTTAAAGCGGAGACGAGCGGCAAAAGGCCACCGCAGCCTGGCGTCGCGGAGCTGGCGCCACGGGCTGCGGCTCCAGAGGCCGCTGGACGCGGCGAGAGCCGTGTTTTTTCTTTTCAGCCCCAAAAGTCGTAGGGGTATGGGACCCCAGCAATTGGTGCCCTTTCTCACCTTTTTTTTTGGTTGGGAGGGTTCCCCTACCAGAGTCCAGGAAAAAAAAGGGGTACCCTTATTCTAGCCTCTCTGCTGGAGGACCTAGTAGGGGTATGAGACCAGGGGTGTGGGATACGCGTGATTCTGTTTTGACATTTGCCCCTCTTCTTTGAGGGAAAGTCAAAAAGGACAACCGAGAGAAGGGGAACGGCTCCTTTTTTTTAGGGCTTGTCTTGTGCAAGGGGAACACCATGAGGACAATTGTGTGTGTCGCTGCTCGGGGACGGACCGTAGAGGACAACAAATAGGCTGATAGGAGCCAACGGGAGTGATAAATTTGGGCCAGCGATTCAGCCGACCGGATTTAGAAGATCCAAATCCTTGTAAAGCAGAGGTTTGTTTTGATGTATCCATCAAAGGAGAGCCCTGTTGGAACCCTAAGGAGAGACCACCCCAACCTGCAAGTTGGGGGTTCAACCTTTTCCTTCAGCCACTGTTTTGCGCCTGAAGGTGTGTTGTTGGTTTCATTGGAATTCGGGAACCTGGGGATGTTGCACAGTTTCACTAACCCCTGTTATGTTTCCCTTTGAGGGTCAAAGATTGCAGTTTGCATTGCGGTTTCAAGGGGCTTTCCAGCACACACATGTTCCTTTGTTTCGCTGGACAAGTATGTAAGCCATGGGGTTCTTTTTTGTTAATGTTGGAACATGTGGAAACATGAATTGTGTGTGGAATGCTTGACCATAATGTCATTGGCCATTTTGGCTCAAGCATTGAGTGGGGTTCCTGGAACCCTTTTCTGATCTGGAAAACTGATTGCCCTCTGATCCTTTCAACTCTAGATTGAGCCATGGCTTCCTCAACAACTTCGGTGTCTTCTTTCGAGCTGGTTCAGGAACAAAAGCTCTCCGCGGAGGACGTGGAGATGGCCAGCCAGGAAGCGCAGGAGATGCGCACACGTGAGGCAGCCGTGGCGGCGGGCCTGGTTTTGCAGGAGCCCTCGACCGCACCTTCTGCCACGGTGGCGGATGTGGTGATGGACCTCTCCAACGCCCTCGAGCGCCTGCACGTGGCCTTCAACTCCCCCACGTCAGGCCTGGGGCCCTGGAATGGGGGAGACGGACATGTTGAACAAGGAGCAGGCCACGACAGCCACTGAAGGGATTCGTGGCGGCATCGCAGTCGAGTCAGGCCCCGGAGACCAAACTGGTCAGCCTTCAGCCGTTAAGCAAAAAGCCGGGCTACTTCAAGATCGTGGACCTTCCGGACGCCTTCCCAACCCTTCCGTTGGCGGCCACCCTGCTGCGGGATGTCACGGTGGCAGAGGCCGGGTCGCTCTTCTTCAAGTTTGTGGGGAACAACCTGACGGAGGACTTGGTGGCGCGCGACCTGGAGGCGTATGTCCCCATGAAGATACAGCTCCGGCAGGAGGAGGTGTGGTCCTCGCAGTTCCAGAGGAACAAGGCCGCGATTGGCTCTCAGCGCATGTTGGATGCCGGGCAGGCCCGCTATGAGTTCATGCGCAAGGCGTGCGGGACAGGGTGGCCTGACGAAGCAGTGTTGGGTCTGCCCGGACAAGGAGTCGGTTCCCTTCAAGGCCCCATCTGCCACCTACGAGGGTGACGGCATCACCTAGAACCTGATCATCCAGGAGGGCAAGCCGGTGTGGAAAGCTCGGGTGCCACTGGCCCCGGCACCAAGCGCTCGTGCTGGTGGATGGCACACTCTTGAGACCCCCCCCAAGACGGACACTGCGGAAGAGATCACGATGGCCGACCGCCACGATGGAGGTGGACGACGAGGCGATGAAGGTCCGGGAGAACCAGCAGGTCTGGGTCCAGGTGCAGCGGTCCTTGAACGAGGCGGAGGAGCTTCAAACGGAACCACCCGCAGGTGGACCAGGCCATGAAGAAGAAGGAGGCCCTCCATGCGGCCCTGCACGCTCCGCGGGAGCTGTCCCCGGAGGAGATCTCGGCCAGGCAGCGGCGCAATGCTCACGGACAAGATGTTGGACAATGATGGCGGTCTTGGCGCCCATCCAGGAGGGCATGCAGTCCCTTCCGGACGCTGAGGTGGCCAGCGTAGGGGCGACCCTCAGGAAGGTAAACTTGGAGCGGTTCCGGGCGAAGCTGCGGGACCAGTATCTGGAGGGCAAGAGCGCGGACACCACCAAAGCGATTGAGGAGGCGATGGGCTCCATCCAGGAGGCGCAGGCGGCAAACAAGCGCATCCAGGACAACTTGCAATTTTGTTTGGCCGGAGGAGCTCAGGCGGGAGTTGGAGAAGGGCCCCTGGAGCTGGAGGACAGGAGGACATCAAGGAGAAATACATCCCCTTCATCCAGCTGCTCCGGGAGTTGCGCAACCCGATGCCCGCAATCGAGGCCCCGCAATGAAGCGGCACCAGGGGCAACTCCGCATGTTTGGGGGGTGTGGAAGAAGACGGCCAGCGGCGAGATCCCCCCAAATGCGGAAAAGCAGTTCAAGCTTTCGAGATCCTGGCCCTTGAGCGCAGGACTCACCCGTGCACGCGCGACCAGGAGTACCCGGTGGGGCTGTTTTGGGTGAGGCACGGCGGGGTCTTCTGGACGAGGCAGACCACAACGTTCCATCCTTGACTGAGGTCTATGCCCACAGATTCTCGTTCCGCTACATCTACTCGGCATGGGCCACGTTCCCACTGGTGGTGAAGACACAGCGCAGGGGGCAATGCGGAAGGGTCGGCGTCCGACAGGTGGATGGGCAACCTCCAGGAGGCGGTGCCATTCTTGGAGAGCCTGGGCACCCGCAACAAGCAGGAGTGGACCTACATCCTGCGTGAGATGGGGACGTTCTTGGAGGCAAACAACTTCATTGCCAACTGCCCGCTGCCGGTGATGGAGTTGCCGGTGGCCCCGGTCCATGACAGCAAGGATGCACTTAGGTTCAGGGCCATCTGCGACGAGCGGATCACCCTGCCACTGTCCGCCCTCAGGGCTTCACGTCGGTGTACGCCAAGCTGGTGGCAGGGCCCTGTACGACAAGCTTGGCTGCCCGCACCGGGGAGCGGCAAGGCCGAAGGCCAAGTCCTGGCGGGCTCGGACACCACGCTGCGCACCCAGGACCAAGGCACCAGGCGCTACCCGCCCATCACCACTTCCACAGTAACCGCGGTCAACAAGCACTTCCCCTACAGGGACGAAGCATGTGTTCTGGGCTCCCTGGAGTGCGGCCTGGTCCTGCCCAGCATCTGTGGAGGTGCTCAGCAAGGAGAAGTTCAAGACAACGGGGGTCTACATGTGCCGCTTCTGCAAGGGCTTTTGGAAGGCTCAGGAACGGCCCGTTCATGGTCAGTGGTGGACCAGGAGTCGGGGGACAACCCCGTTGAGGCCAAGGACCTCTTCCTCACCACACCGGACGTTCCACTTTGTAAGCGCAGAGGCCCCAACAACTTGGCCAGAATCCACTTACTGGATGTGGAGGGCACAGCGGTGGGGTGTGGATGGAGACCAGCAGCCTCCAAGATCCAAGAGCTTTCACCGCTGGACTATGTGTCAGAGCCATTGGTGTGAGCGATGCTTCAAGCGATACGGCTTCCCGAGGACTGGCTTTTGGAGCCTGGGGAGGTTCCCGCGCTGAACGGATGAATTCGTGGACACCCAGTCGGAAACTGAGGTGGCCTCTCTCAGAGGCACTCGAGGCTACAGAGGGAGGTCTATGAGCACATCACCCGGGCACCGGCAAGGAGAAGAGCAAGAGCAACCCCGCCAGGTGAGAAAAAGCCCGCATATTCAACAGCTCTTCGACCCCATGGCCTGATCACTGGGCCTTCAAGAATCAGGCGTGCCCGCCAGGAGGCCACCTGCTGCCTGGTCCCCGACAGGATCACAGGTTATCAGTGCGGGAAGGCACAAAGAGAATGGGGAGAGAACCCAGCCACAGCGGAAGGCGCAGTGAGCCGCGGCGGCCAACACGGCCACAGGTGGGAGGGGACTTGTCCAGGGTGCCATCAGGCCCCGCAAACTCCTCCACCAAGCAAAGAGTGGCTCCAGCCAGGCACGTGCTCTGGGGGACCCAAAGGGAGAGCAAAGGGGGAGCCGGGCAAGCGGACATTTACCGGAGAGGTGAAATTCAACCCATAGCCGGCCGGCCATGGGGATGGCGAGGCCCCCCGATATCCCAACAAGAGGTGAGCCCCCTGTTCCCATGGATGCAGGACACCCCAACGCGACTAAGGTTCCTGAGACGACCAAACCAACCCTCATCCTGGCAAACGCAGGGAAGGAGGACCTACAACCCCGCATTCTCGGAGTACATCTGGGCAGAAGCTCAGAAGAAAAGGAGGCGTTTTGGGACACGACATGCTCGGAGACGAGCCATACTGCATGGCGGGAAAGGTCGCCTTCGTGGGCGGGGGCCCCGTGGCCCACCACCGGTCAGAGGTTGAGCGGAACAGACTCTATGGGGGTTGCCGGACCTGGAGCCACGGGTAATGGAGGACACGGACAACGACAGCGTGCTCATGCTACGGCACAAGGGCGGGCGGTATCAGTCTAGTCTGCACACCCATTTCTTTGGATTTGAAAGTTTGTGGTGGGTGGGCCATGGGGCCCACCCAGCCGTGAACATTTGACAGGGAAGATGAGTCCCTGGCACCAACACAATGCTTGGATCTTGCTTTGTGGGGTGCCGTTTGGTTAGCTTACATACACCTTTGCTTATAAGAGCGCGGATCGGATGATCCGCAGCCGTATATATGGTTGCTTGTTTCTTAGCTCGGTGCGTCTTCGTTTTTGTTGGATGCACCCTGTGCAGGAACCGCGGACGCCTGCACGAGCACCCATGTGCACCCATGCACGCCACCGCGTGCTTGTGCGTACGCACACATGAGCTGACCGTTCCAGAGAGTGTCTTAACAACCTTCGAGAACTGCTTCTGGCACCTGAAGCAAAGGACCCCGGACGGAACAAGGTTGAACAAGGCCCCCTGTAGTGGATGGAGAAGTACCATTTGGCATCAGGTGGGTGGTTTCCCAACTGCAAGTGGCTTCTCATCCGCTGCATGTGGTACTCAATGAAGCTCAACGAAGGGATCCTTAGGTGGTGGGATCCTTAGGCGGCAATTGGAACAAAAGGCAAAACGGGGTCCTTTCTACCAATGAGTCATCGCCGGGGCAGGCGCCGTGACGTCGGACACGTGGCTGGCGGCTGGCAGCGGGTGCTGGCGCAATGGTGCCTCAGCCGAACTGGCTCAACTGATTGCCATCCTGTGTCGAGGCCCTATATTTCTCATTAAAAGGGTGGTTTGAAACATCACACCTTGGCGCGCAGGCGAGTTTTCGTTGGGGCGATGTTTGTCAGGTGGGGGAGTTCGAAAAAAACTGGCCCCCTGCTTTTACTATTTATGGGGTCTCCTTCGAACACATTTTAGGTTTCAAGATTGTCTGAATATGAAACTGAATCAGAAGATAAGATTTATACCCTAGGGTTGGGCCAAGATTTGAGTCGATCTTTGAGGGAGGAACAAAACAGTGTGGAGAGTTCTTGGGATCTACTTGGCAAGGAAGGACAGAATGGGGCATCAAGCATCACAAGGCAGCCTGAAGAAGCAACTGGAAACGGCGACTACACACGAGTTGCTTCCGATCGCTGGCACCAAAGGAATCAGACAAGCATTTCCACTCAGCATGGTCCATTGTCCACTAGTGCAAGAATAGAGAGGTCACCTCAAAGCAGGCCAAAGACAGACATGCCGATCATGTTCAGCGCTGCTGTCAAGTTAGGAGACGTCTTACTTGTTACTGGTGATTTGCCAGTGCAGCAAGCTATCGAGTGCACACAATTCGAGTCTTGTGCGTGTATGCTATATATAATATATATTTATTTACTTTTCCCCCGAGGTTACCCTTTTAGGGGTGAATCAAACGACCCCGAAACCCATTTCAAGTGTTTTGGGAAATCTTTTTCGGTCGGGTTTGAATGCATTCTGCACTCCTGCCAACTAATCTGGAATCATTTTGAGAGGACTCTCCATTTCAATACCTTTGTTTTGGCTCCCTTCCGTGAAATTGAAGGGGATCGATCTGGAGTCAACCGGGTTGAGCTTTCATTCGAAAAGGGATCGGTGCACGTCAATTTGCGGAAGAGTAACATGGAGTGTGCTTCTTTTTGAGGCTCGTGCGTCCTTTTCACCTCGCTGAGGAAACCAGGGCACCCATTTTTGGGGTCCAATCCCTCCGGCGAGGCCCTGGTTGAGGGGCCCCGCACCTCGCCTTGAAATGGCAGGGGGTGCTGGGAATTTTCGGCTTTTGGCTTTGTTCGCTGAGCGTCGTCGTGTTTCGGTTTTCTTCTGGTTTCTCTTGAATGTTCGCAGGACTTGGGGGGTTTGTCCGCAAAATTCCCTGACAAACCTCAAGCAGATAGTGGCGACCTAAACTCCCCCGAAAACCTGGAAGCGCCCCTAGAAACGGCGTCCTGCAATAGACCCAAACATGGAACACCAAGTAGACGACTCCCCCGAATCATAAGGCCGTTTCTGTACATTCGGGGCCAAACTGGGGCACAGCAAGGCTTAGTAGTTTGCCGAGGCCTGCAGGCAAGCTGGATTTTACGCCGTTTAAGCTGAAGTAGGCTTGATTAACCTTAATGGCCGTACGTAGGCCTATTCAAGACAAGTCGCTTACAACACCCACCCAAAAAAGAAAGCACCGCCAATTCGAGCTTCAAATGACCGGAATTGCTAATCAATTGATTGAATCTTCTCCCTCACCTGTAAAGGGCGTGACTCCTTGAACATGTCACAGGGCCGGGCAGACTCAAAAAAGCTGAAATGAGCGTAATAAAGCCTAATGAAGCTTAACTAATTAAGACCAACTACTTTGGCCAGCCCCAACATGATCTGATTACTGTTATTATTGTTTGTTTCATTCTGTTTATTTATGTTTGGGCGGGGGGAGGTGGGGAGGTGGGGGGGGGACTTGTTGACATGGTAAATGGAGCCATTTTTCTGGGCGCGATTTTCTGCTCTGCAGTTTGCCATAGCTTGCCGGTCAGGGAATCAAGAGGGGTTTGGGGAGTGAACCGTTTGGGATCCCTGAGCTTCCAAAAAGGGCAGTTTCCCTTTCCCTTTCAAACTTCTGGGCACCGGCTCCAAAAGGACTCCGCATGTTCCTGGTCCAAGGATTGTGCCGGCTTCAACGTCGCCATTGGCACCTTGGGTCAGGACACGGAGACGGACTCGTGGCGGCTCTCGCTGTGGAGCTTCGGGGAGCTGAGCGTGGCTTTGGCTGAAAGGGTTGCTGGCAAACATGTGTGCCGTGCTCACCGATTCGGGGTCAAGAAGATCTCACCATGATGAAGCTCCTTTACTTGAGGATCCAACTATTGCTTCAGGTTTTGGAATTGTGGGTTGTGGCCCGAGTACCTCCAGCTGGTCAACCTGCCAGCGGAGCTCGGTGGCGTTGATGACATTATGACATCCAGAATTAGCAAACCGCTGGTTGATTGGGGGGCGGGAGGGTGTGTGTGTGTGTGTGTGTGTGTGTGCGTGTGTGCGTGCGTGTGTGTCCCTCTTCTGGGCTTAGCAGTCCAGGATTGGGGAGGCTTTTGAGCATCCATGCACGGAACATATTCTGACTAGACGTGCCTGAAGTCCGATCGGCCGTCTGCGAGGACCGGAGAGTCCGCCCCGACATGATCTCGCACATGTCGGCTGCTTGGCTGCATCTTTTCCATTTCTGTGTGTGGGCCCAAAACTGGCTTTGGGCCCGCTTTGCCTTCTGGTTTGCGGGGCCCAAAAACTAGTGGGGGTCGAAATTTGGAGAGTGCCGCCTTTGGGGTGTGAAGGACGGGATGAGGAAACCATCCCTTTTGGGAAATGTTCCGCCGAACTCCAGCTGCACTTAGCGAACCTTGGCCGTGAAGTCTCAGTACACTTGCTGATGCGTTGAACTGGGAGCGAGCTAACCAGACGATACTCGGGATTTCCTTCCATTCCATTCCTGAAGCATCAATCTGTTGTCGGCTGGCCCTAGGCTTAAAAGTGGTGAAAGCTTGAGAGCTTTGCCGCTTAAGTTTTCCGCGAGTATGTTCACGCCCCGAGCAACGGCCAATGAGCGTGCGGTGCAGAAGCCACGCGCCCGGTCCTCTTTGGGGCGACCCAGTGCCCCTCGTGGAGGCAGCCTTGCGCCAGACAGAGTTTCCATCGTCCCTGATTTTTGAGAACCTACCAGACCTAGCTGACGCCTTTCCATCCATTTGGGCTTGTATTGGCTTCCAGCTTGATGTTGCAATGCTTGACCCACATGTGGAGTCGGGTCCATTTTCTTTGCCCCTGACAACAATGATGGGAGACCATATGTCGGGGTGCGGCTTAGGGTGCGTTGCAAGGTCCGCAAAATGATGCAACTTCCGCCTTTGCCCTTTCTAAGTGTCTCCGCTGGGCACCGTCAAATTCTCCATTTGGGGATGTCTTGTTTAGGGGACTCCAAAATGGTGGTTTTCCCTTTAAGCTACCCAAAAAGTGTACCCTCAAAGACAGACACAACCACTTGAACTTCCAAAAGGGCGATTTTTCAGTGGAACCCATCAGTCAGTTGGCAGTTTGCGGCCATATGGTTCCTTAGACTTAGACTTTTATACTTATATAGCTTTTTTCAGGTACAAAGTTAAACAGGCTAAACGGGTCCATGAAATCCGACTGCTTTAACTTTTATCAAGAGATGAACGAATCCGTCAGCAAGTTGCAGTTTCAGGGGATGTCCGGTGAGCCTCTGTGATATTCGGGATGCAGCCATGCAGGCTTTTCCAGTGCAATGCTTTGGGAAGAGAAAAAGCAACCCTTCGCCCTCCGCAAATTCCTATGTATTCTTCGCATACGGCGCGATTTCCAGGCGACCATGATGAAGGTTCTCTACTTGGGATCCATTTCTTATTTCAGGCTTTGGGAACTCCTCTAGAACTTGCAGGTGTATTTTTAGGGCCGCCCCAAATAACAGATTGGCTTTCTTGGGGGTGGCCATGAGCCGCTTAGGGACTTGATACACGGCTTTAAGGGTTTGTGCAAGGCAACCATGACCGCTACCCCCACACCCCCCAGTGGTGCCCCTTCTTCTCATGGCGATCGGACCCAGTCTAGGATCAAACACTTTTGACCATGGCCGAATGAATCATAATCCATGAACAACAACACTCCAGGGAACCGCGACTTGGTCATGTTGTTTTTTTTGAGGGGAACTATGGGAAGCCCCCTGAACAACTTGTTTGGACCATGCGTGTTTGCCCACCAACCATTCAACACAACTTGTTTCACAGGCCTCACTTGCGCAGATTTGGGTTCGGTTCATGGAGGTCTCAAGTTTCTCACCGGGGCTCTCTAATTTCCCCATTGCGATTCATGCCGTGCCCGAGAGCACTTAACATGTTTGGGGCGGTTTCCCAATCTTATTTAAAGTGGGTCTCCATACCCATTCGCATTCTATCACTCCAAAGAACATGCCTTTTGTATCACACACGCTCTGCACATCAACGTGGAACCCACAAAACCATCTCAATTTTGAGTCGAGCCCTCTCCGGTTCAAACTCACGCCCACGACTCGAGGGTCGGCTCAGGCCATGACTCCATGCAGCCGCAAATGGCTTTGGCCGCGCAGCCTGGCGCTCTTTGCCCGCCTGGAGGCGCGCCGCGAAGGGCTCGCGGGTCCCGCCCTTTTCCGGCCACCCTGAAGGGCCAGCCCGAAGGCACATCCAGGACCTTTCTTTGGACTCTCTCTCTTTGGACATTAACATTTTTGGTCGGGCAAAAGCTGTGATGGAACCCTAACGAAGACGTTTTACTGTGGGTGGACAAACCCCACCACTTGCTAGGTGTGGTCTGTTTCAGTAGTATTCACGTAGTGTTTCATCCATCGGACTTCGTCCATCAGGCCCACAAAGGCGCGCATTTGCCCAACTGTTAACCTCGGGACGGGGTGTGGGTGGCTGCTGCACATGGGAATAGGTTACCAGAAATGGCAGCATTGCACATGTGCGGCGTGAAGCAACAGAAAACAAGAAACACTCCGACCTGAAAGCGCCCAATAACCACTTTAAGAGGGGCCAGGCTGTCCTTCAACAAGGGTCCCTTCGTGAGATTCGTGTAAACAAGTTTCTGGGTGTTCCAACTATCAACCCTCCACGTTCTCCTGCCATATAAAGAGGGGTGGTTGCAAAAGGAATCCCGTGTACCAGGCGGGGGCAAAGCAAAGACCAGGACCACTTTCCTTTTGGGGAGCCTTCCTGTTCGCTTTCATGGCTGTTGGAAGGAGTGTAGTTCACTTGTGTGTGCGTGTTCTGTAGAGTACTTGGCCCATTCCGATTTCTACACAGGGATTTGTCCAACGAGGTGGTCTTCTATGCAAAAGCACACCGCCCATTTCCGACCAACGCCGGCACGAGTTGGGATGGACGAAGCCCAGTGACTAGGATGCTCCACCAACTGGTGCAGACCCTATTTAGTCCGTCCGCCGAAAGCTTGTTCCAAAGGAAAGCCGGAGAAGCACGCTGTTTTGGGCTTCCACCAACTTACTTGGTGCTTGTGTCCCATGTTTTGGGTTGGTTCAGATGGAAGCCAAAAGGACTGCCGCCAATTTTTTGGGGGGTCCAAACACCCCGGAGCATCCACCGGCCGCCTTAGGAGGCACAGCTGCGCCCAGACGCGGCGGTGCACAGCGGCCTCGCCGGCGCCTGCGAGAAGGCGATGGGAGGCGACCACTTTGGTCTCCCTCCAAGTGGATGAGAGGCCGAACTTAGTTCATGTCCTCATATGAGGTGATATAGGAGAGGCGATATGAGGTGATATGAGTTATTATGAGGCGATATGGGTGCTATGGGGGGATATGGCTGATATGAGGTTTCATGTGCGGTTTAAAGTGGCTAACTAGTTAGACTGGGGATACTTTGACACCAAGTTTGTCATAAAATCTTCGCAGCTCGGCCCAATACAATACATTTTGAGGGTTCTATGGCAGGGTATGAGTAGGGTGTTGTGAGTAGGGTTGAACCATTGCAGCCAAAAAACGGGAGCATTCATTGCTACTAGGAACGTTTCTGGAGCCAAGGACCATCAAAGATAATCAATCCTCGCATGGCTTCCCTGGCTCTGAATCACAATTGGAGCAACATTGGGTCTCCCCCCATTTCTTTGAACATATAACCGAAGGGGGTCTATTGGAGTTCCATGAACTTCCTGTCTCCAAAAATGGTTCCGGAGGGTAGTGGTCCTGCAAAAATATATATTTGGTGGTAGACCAAGAATAGGAGGACACCATATGAAAACATCTCAAGGTTACATACTTTCCGTGTACCTCAGCTGCGGCCCAAGCAACCAGGCAAGCAACCAGGTGCGTCAAAGTCTGCGTAGTTTTCTTGGTTTTGAGTTCATTTGAAAGTAGAACGATCGAAAGCCATGATGTAGGTTTTGTACTTGCAACATCCGTATTTCCGGTTTTGTATCTAAACAAATGCAGAATACTGTTGAGATACATATGCCACGGTCAAAAGCAAGGCACTTTCCCTTGGGGTGAAGGATTTGTTCACCTCTGGTCGATTTTGATCGGCAGGCGCCCCATTCATGTGGGAATTGGAACTGCTCAGAAGTTGACCCAGCATCATGTGACACAGCGAAGGGTTGAGCATGGTTCGTGTCACAGGTTTTTGCTTTTTTCCAGTCTCCTCGCTCGCGATTTCCAGGCGCAGTGCTGGCGTGAAGCGCTGCAGCTCTGGCGGCCATTCCCACAACTCATGGAGGATTCCGGCGGCAGCGGTGGGGGGGGGGGGTTGGAAGCTCGGGAACCCACGGGAAGCCGACTGAACCACACATGGTGTACCGACAGGTGTCCTTTTCTTCCAAAGGGACCCAGGAGAAACGAAAGGGATCAAGGGGAACCCAAACGGACACCCCATTTCAGGACTCAACCGAGATATCCTTTTCTTCAGGACGACTTGAGCCTCAGCGCAGCTCTGAAAGCTGTGGCGGTGCGTGGCTGGAGCTTTGCCTTAAGCGCCTTGGATGAAACGATGGGACCATTTTGGTATGGTATGAATTTTAGTCGGGGACCCGAGATGGCAGACATCATTTCGGTGACAATTTATGTCCACCACCACTTTTGAGGCGGCTCCCTTTCAAAATTCATGGCTGTTGAACTTTTGGGGCTAAGATGGCAAAGATTCATATGAGAAAAGGCCAACATTTGCCGACATCTACTTTTGTAAAGCGATGACATGGGGTGCACTAGCCAAATCGTCATTAGACAATGGGGGTTACTCAGAAAAGTCGAATGTCATTTGGTTGCACAATACATATTCACTGTGGTTCACATGGGACCAACCATATGCATCATAAACATGTGCGGGTCGTAGAACCACCTACCAAAACGGCCAATGTGTGTTTTGGGCGTTGCTCAGTTTGTGCTTTGGGTGGCCATTGTGCCATGGTCAAAACACCCCTTTATTCGGGGGGTGGTAAGAATCATGACCCTTTAGGGATCCCAGACAACCTTAGGGTGGAGTCCGTCTTTTTTTGAGGGTACTTGTTTTTTCCCGTGGTGTTTTTGCAAAGGGCAACCAAAAGACCATTGTATTTTTGTTGGGGTCCCCTAAAAAGACACTCCCACACACACCCACAAACACGCAGGTTTTCTTCGTAAACTTCAGTTTGACTCTGGAGTTTCAGGAGCGCGTTTCGGCGTGCTCTTACCAATGCCTTGAACAGTCCGGCAACGAGGTGTGCCATGGGGCATCACATTGTGACTGGACATGACCTCACTTCGCCACATGTTCTGGCAATAGATGGAGGTCTATGCGCAAAGATTGGGTACCGTTCTGGACGCAGCGTTATAGTTGAGCGTCTTGTGCTGCACATTTTCTCTGTGCCACAACACATATGGCTAACAATACCCTTCAACAATGGCAGGTGTTCAGAAGCAAGTTGCCGAAATCGTCCTAAGCTAACATAATCATCGTGACTGTCTTTCTGTGGAGGCTGCATTCATCTGCCTGTTTATATGGCTAACTCACTGTGTTGGGGGGCTAAACGAGTCCACCATGAGGGTCCTTTACTTGGGGATCCAATTCTTATTTCAGGCTTTGGAATCATTGTATGCATTGCAGACTGAATATCAAGCACTTTCTTGAACCGCAAGGGGTGTGGCTGTTCAGATTAGATTTGGTAGTCGGTACTACCAAACACTTTGTACCAACCCTCTAGTGGTGGATTTCGCATTCTTGCCAACCATTGTTTTTTTCAAAAACAGGCCCTTTCCTTCCGGTTTTCGGGGGGGTTCTGAAAGAAAATCCTGAATTAGCAACGCGCATGCGGATCATTCGCAAGCCTTGAGGCCTACTGCGCGGCCAACAGCCAGGGTACATGAGCGTCGATGCGGCGGCTTGGCTGAATGGAGGGATAATAATTGGGCTCGCCAAACTATTGGGGTCGATTGAATGGGAGTTCTCAAAATGGAGGTTAAGGGGAAACCAACGGGAAACCAATGCCATTTTACAGACACCGATCACCCAAATATGGACCAGAGTATGATTTTCCATCATTCTTAGATGGTTGGCACTACCCGCAAACCACTACACTGGACGCAGGGGAAAGTGGAAGTCTTATGTCCCTTAGACAAAGACGGGTATGAAGATGCCGGATATCCCACTAAACCTCTGAGGATAAAAAGTGGGCACCATCTTAGGCACCCGCTTTTGAGGTTCAACCAGTTTAGCCTTTGTTCTCAGGGAGATGCACTTCACATTTTCAGTTGTGCAGCAGGGGAAGGTTTCTGCTCTGCAGGAACGCGATGGGGAGGTTGGGGTTTCTGAAGGAAAACCGGGTGACAGTGATCTGGATCGGTGGTTTGCAGGTTTGAACCCCCGATTCTTGGTGGGTTTCGACACCCGAATCGGCCTTTGGCTTTGTCCCAAAATCAGGGTGCATGGGCAACACGCTATTTTGGATGTATGAGGCCCCTATGAAAACCTGGATACACCACAAATCCCAACGGGTGCCTATCGCGGATTTGGCCCATCCAAAGCGGGGCCCCACAAAAATTGGCGTTTTTGGTTTTGAGAACGACGCCCCTGGCCCAGTTAAATAGTGGCAACCCAGTAATTTGCATATAAACCGAGTTGATTAATGGTGACGACCTGGATTTATCCATCTATGGTAAGGATACAGCTGGCGTTCAGGTTTGTGCCAAAATTAGGACTTCCCAGGAATAGTCGTGGAGTCCTGAGGATGACCCCCAGTGGCAGGCGCACATGTTGATGAATGTTAAGACATATGCAAAGGAAGAATGATGCGGGTCAAAACCCTGTACCCCTGGTGAACATCAAAATAGGTGGCAAATAGATGTTCATCCACCCCAAAATGGAGCCATAGGTTATGACCCATGGCCATATCTCAACGCGAATCCAACAAATCATAGGCCCAGCTTGTACCCCCAACCGCAACCCTTCCGGAACCTTTCTGGACCCCGAGAGACGCTCACCACTCTGGAGCCCCACTCCGGGGACCCCATGGCTTCCCACAACGGTTTCCCTTTCCCCAACAGCGCCCCAGATTAAAAGAACAGGTTGAAGAACCTGCGCCTTGAGGCCGTGGCGGCTTGCGGGCCCTTGTGGCGCACCGCGCTGTTTCTCGGCTCGAGCCGCCCGGCCGCGGCCGCCGCCGCCGCGGAGAAGGCGCCATGCACGCGGTTTTTTCTTCCTGAATGTGTGTGTTTTTTGCTGGCCCCGTGTATTTTACAATGGTCCAAGTCACCCCCTTAAGCCTTAAGTGGTAGCTTCAAGGGCAACAAACCCCATTCAACAATGACCCCACAAACACCCACACGATGAGAGTTCCCAGAAACAATCAAAATCATGCCGCCAGTTTTTGCAGCAAGAGGGACGAAACAAAATGAATTGCGCCTTTGCCCCCGTGCCAACATGATTTGGTGCACGGGCCCCTTTTCCAAGAGGACAGATTTCGACCTTCAAAGAGGCCTGGGAAGGGGGGTGGGTTGTCTGGTTTTCACGGCGTTTGGTGGCTTCTCAACCCTAAAACCAGCCTCAAGCAGCACTAAACCCGCCCTAAACTAAACAAACCTCCCCTAAACAGCCTAAACCAAAGTTTCGGGGGATTCTTTGTGCCCGAGAGCGAAAGCACACCAAACTTGTTGGAAGAAACGACTGGAGTAAATCTCCAGCCGTAATGATTTGCTGCCAGGGCCGCTTGGGGTTTTGCATCTGTTCCTGCCCGCAGCTTGGGCTCAACATGTCTAACGTCTCATGCCCGACCAAAAATTAAGAACCGATGACCGTCACACTCCGATCCCTCAGTGAGCACCGTGTCCGTTGCTCCCAGGTTCAAACTGCAAACGGCTGAGCCAGCAAACACTCAGACATCTCCCCATCTTCTTTCCCCATTCCTGCAAGCTGCCGGGCCTAAACCCCGAAACCGTACTTCAGCCAGCTTCCGCGCTACAAAAGTCGAAGCGGAGCCATTCGCGCGGGGTTTGCGAACAAACAGCCAGCGACGCCATGGCCTCTTTGACGGTGCAGATGGAGGACAGGGTTGGGCAAAATGTGTTGAAAGAACCAGCTTGAAGAGAAACAAAAAGGAGCTTGTTTGGATAAAACTTACTCAATCCATGTTGGTTGGCCCAATATTTTTCTTATGGTTACATTTGGAGCGCTCAAATTGCTTTTGGATCAAGTGAGGTCCACCCATTTAGACGGGCCCAGCTATTCTGGATGTAACCCACTAAAATTGGACTAAGAGGGGAACCTACAAAGAGGTTTACTGGGGTCTCCTCCAAACTAATTGTTTCGCGGGTGGACGGATATATATATATATATATATACATATATATATATAAATATATATATATATATATATATGTATATGTGGACCAGAAGCATTCAAAGAGTTTGTGCAAGTGATTTGGGCCATGTGTATCCGTTGAGGCGTTGTGGACAACTCGGTATGGTCATTGGTGTAGCAAGAGAATCCTAATGAATATGAGAAAAGTCACAGGGATTCGGACAGGAACCATGCCTCAGGCAATCCTTAATCGGTTTGAGATTAGGGATTTGAACCCGTGGTTCTTGTAGGGTGTGAATGGGACCACCCCCCCCCCCCCACACCCTCCGGAACACCTCCAAAGCACCACTCCAAGGCCTACGCCTTCCGGGAGCTGGTGGCGCACCTGCAGTGGCGGAAGGATGTGCCGCGAGTCTGGAGCGATATGCTTTCGCCGTGGCTTAAAGAAGGAGCCCTGATTCAGGGTTTCGTTTTCCTGGTTCATTCTTGGGTTTTCAAATTGTCCAAGGCAACTGTGGATGGAGAAAGTCCACGCAGTTGGGCTTGGTTTGTCACAAGATTTCGTGGGGCTTCATCCAGCCCAATTGGTACGAAATGGATTTTGTCCATCCGTAGTACGTTTTAATCATGCTTTAGCAAGGAACCCTGATTCTTTGGGTGTGTGTTTTGTTGAGGGGTTGGATCCAAGAAGTTTCTGCTTTGCTACTGGGAAGCCAGGATTTTTCATGGGAAAGCGTGGTTCAATCATGTCTAGACAAACGGCCTGGCCCGACCCTGATTCTTGGGATTTGCTTTTTTGAGGCTCGTGCCCTTTTCACCTTGGTTTATAGGGAAACCGAAAGGACACAAGCGTTTTTTTGGATCCACATCCCTACTTTGACACATGCCCAACTTGTTTGGGTCGAAAGCCAAATGAGTTTCACATTGAGGCAGAACATCGACCTGATGAACCTGGCGGGGTTTTGTCGGAACTGCATGGCCAAGTGGTACCACGCGGCCTCCAAGGCCGGGTTGCGAATGTCCTTTCTTAAGAATCCCCCCCACAACATGTCCATATAAGAGCCGCAGTGGGCCGGCCAGTTGGCACCATAGGTATCCTTTTTGTCAGTTTGGTTGACAAAAGATGAGTGCTGGTTTTGGAATGGTTCTACTCAATTTCCAGTGAGTCCACAAGAATACACACCTCCTACTCCAAATGCCACCCACCTTTTGTTGGGGTTGGTTTGACCAAAAAGCTAGGTTTATCATACCCTAACAAAAGAAGACACCCGGACCCTCGAACCACTCTTAAACAAGGGAAGCCATCCCATAATTTTGGGGCAATATCCAAGGTGCACGGCGTGCCGATGCAGTACGAGGAGGCCTGTGAGGCGGGTCTGTCGTTTTGTTCAGATCCAGTCAACAGCACCAGGTTTTGATCGTGACCCACAAGGTCGTGCGTCAGAATAGGGGCAATCCCGACATCCTCAAAAAAAGACCCCCCCCCCCCCCGCTCACCGGCCTCCTTAGTGTACGTTTTCCGACTGAGCTTGACTATGGCTCGTGAACCGCTTGTGTGTGTGTGATCTGCGCGTGAACCGTTCAGGCCACATACAAAACTCCCTTCACTGACTTTAGTTGAGACGTGTGTGTGTGTGTGTGTGTGTGTGTGAGTGAGTGAGTGAGTGAGTGAGTGAGTGTGTGTGTGTGTGTGTGTGTCTGTGTGTCTGTGTGTCTGTGTGTCTGTGTGTCTGTGTGTGTGTGTGTGTGTCTGTGTGTCTGTGTGTCTGTGTGTGTGTGTGTTATGGTGAGTGCTTTGTTGGGCCCTCCGATGGGGTGTTTCCGCGCGCTTTTCGCGTTTCGTTTCCCACTGTAAACAAGGGTTTCAGGGCCATTTTTGACGACCTGCGCGCGGGTTTGGAGCAGTGGGCGTATGTTGCGTTCACGGGCACACTTTCATGACTGAGCGCACGCCTGCCACATGATAAGCACCCACATTGACGCACGCATTATCATCATTGCGTGCATGCACACATTATCATCATTGCACACATTATCATCATTGCGTGCGTGCCTGCCACATGATCAGCATCCACGTTCACGCACACATTATCATCATTGCACACATTATCATCGTTGCGTGCATGCGCGCATTATCATCATTGCACACATTATCATCATTGCGTACATGCCTGCCACATGATCAGCATCCACGTTCACGCGCACATTATCATCGTTGCGTGCATGCCTGCCACATGATCAGCATCCACGTTCACGCACACATTATCATCATTGCGTGCATGCCTGCCACATGATCAGCATCCACGTTCACGCACACATTATCATCGTTGCGTGCATGCCTGCCACATGATCAGCATCCACGTTCACGCACACATTATCATCGTTGCGTGCATGCCTGCCACATGATCAGCATCCACGTTCACGCACACATTATCATCATTGCGTGCATGTCTGCCACATGATCAGCATCCACGTTCACGCGCACATTATCATCGTTGCGTGCATGCCTGCCACATGATCAGCATCCACGTTCACGCACACATTATCATCGTTGCGTGCATGCCTGCCACATGCTCAGCATCCGCGTTCACGCACACATTACCATCATTGCGTGCATGCCTGCCACTTGATCAGCATCCACGTTCACGCACACATTATCATCATTGCCCCAAGGGCATATTTGAACATCGATGAAAACAAGCAGCGTCTGTGGGCGTAAAAACCCCAAGACGCATTGAACAGACAGAAAACTCTGGACCGAAAAACCGCGCGGTGAGAGCCCATCGAAGCGTTGTTGGGGGTATCAGGGTTACCCTTTAGGTCGGCTTAACCGGGAACCACAGACATTCCTTAGGTTCGTTCTTTGTTTGGGGAGGGGTCCCCATTTTGACGTCACAAGTTGGCAGGTGATCTACGGGGAGCCGTACAGCGAGTGGAAGAAGGCGAACCAGAAGAAGGCCACGGAGGAGCAGATGAAAGCCTTCGAGTCGGGCAAGGACTGGCCTCCCGTCCTATGAATCGGGGGGCTGTTCCTTGCAAAAGGGATGAAGCCCCACGAAAACGGGACGCCTCTCGAGAAAAAGCATTACCAGTGGTTTATTAGTCCGGGGTTCCCATTAAACTTATTCTTCTTTTGTAATCGTGACTAAATATGGTTTTAGCAGACCCCCTGACCCCCTGCTAATTGTTTAGTCCCTTATACGACAGATGTTCAGGTGGACCCTTAGTTGATAGTTTGGATTGGTGGTTTGGATTTGGCCCCCCTGGCTTTGCGGAAATGGAACACCATCCCAAACCAAACCGCCAATCCAAACCGCCAATCCAAACCACCAATCCAAACCCCCAATCCAAACCACCACTCCAAACCACTAATGAAAGGGAAGCTGACATTTGGCAGCTAGGGGAAAGCAAAGGACACCAAGCACGATTTCCTACCTTTGTGTTTCCAAGTGAATAATTCCAGTGGGACATTCTTCTGGAAGACGGCGTCGCAGAGTCTTGAAGAGGCTTCCGATCGTTCATTTCGTTTGAAAGAGGGCCCACAGATCAATCAACCTGCTGGACTTGTAGGGCTATGATCTTTGGTGGTTGGAATCACCCCGCAGTTTGTTGGCGGAGATGAATCCCCCACCGAATTCAGGTGAGGGTCCAACCAAGTAGAACTCAATTTCAACCCGCACTTTCTTTGGGTCCTGCCCTTATTTGTACAAGTGATCCGAATATTTGACAGTTCCGGGTAGCGTGTTTCATCTTGATTTACTCTTGATTTACAGAGAAACCAACAAACACGAAACCACCATCTTTGTGCAACATCAGACTGCAAAATGGTTTCCTGTTGGTATCCGTAAGCCAACCAGGCGGGGGATTCCCCTAAGGA